TAATATTTATATTCTACTATTATGTGTTTTTTCAAATAACTTCATAAAAGCTATCCAATAAACCAATAAATCTTGTCAACACTATTCAATAATCATGATGATTATTATGAAGCTATTTGAAAAAAAACCATTGTTAGTTATTATTGTGTAAATTATAATAATCAGTTTTTCAAATAGCTTCATAAAAACTAAAACAACTAAATAATAATAATTATAATACTGATTAATACAAAAGCATTAATAATCATGTTTTCAAATGGCTTTAAAAAAGCCATAATAATAATAATAATTGGTTAATCCTTCATTATGCTGTGTTTTTCAAATAGTTTTAATAAAATGAGTAAACCAATAAATTATTATGATTATAATCATTTTTCAAATAGATTAGAAGCTATCCAGTATTATTATTATTGATCTGTTGTTCCATTATATGAAGCTTTTTGAATAATGAGCTATTTGCTTTTTTGGAGCTATTTGAAAAATGTTTAGTCATCATTGTAAACGTCTGAGGTCGATGATCAATGCTGTATTGCAGCCGAAATAACAAACCCACAAAAGGTATCCGACAAAAACAGCATTTGCAGGACAAGTAATGCCACACTGCCTGATTATAAATCTGGAAGTCTTTAAAGTCACTCAAGACAGATACTTGAACAGCTCTCTGCTCTAAATGATATGTTACGGGCAAACATATTTCCTGAAGTACCACTGCGAGTCCAATGTTTTCAGCATGCTCAGGATATTTCCAAAAATCTGTCCAGCTCTTCTCAATAATCCGCTCAAACAATAAGCTTTTCCATTGGTTTGCATCACTGGCCTGGCAACGCTTTCTCTTTTGTATGTTAAGTTGTATGTTAAGAGCTTGAAAAAAGTCTGCACACTCAAACATCAAAGCATCACAAGCGAGATGAGAACAATTGTATGTTAACAACAGAGAAGTTGTATGTTAAGAAAGTGGGGCAAGGAGAGGGAAGGATAGAGATGAAAATGTACAGCAGGCACGGAAACAGATGGTACTTGCTTTGTTTGGAGCATTTCGCCGTGAAAATAATGGATTATGGGAAAATATTTTGCCCACACGTACAAGCACACACAAATCATACCCCTCAAAACACCCAGACCACCCCAAAAATAAAAAACATCATTTACATTTGATGTATGGTAGCTATTAACTAGCACCTCATACAATCATTTTAATGAGATAAATATAGAACGGTGTCCAACCTGTTCAGCTATAATCTCATTTCACATGACAGCACTGGAAGGCAGAAGGGAAAGTTGCCTTTAGCTTTATACATTACAGTGTGTGTGCTTGTCACTGGTGACAAATGGACCTGCTTGTAGGGACTTTCAGACCATAAATTACAGATAATCATATGGGTACTTATAAAATAACCTAATGGAGGGTCTTTAACCATCCCTAACATCATAAGCTCCAGGGCATTATGTGCAAAAGTCCTCCATGCTTGATAGAAGTCGATCTTTTTCTTTTTAAACAAAGGGTCAGAGGTTGCAAAAAGTTTAAAACAGTCAGGCAAATATTTGTCCTAGAAAGAATCGCTTTTATTTTTTGACTCGGCCACCCAACCTTTCAGAAGTTCTGATAAATCCACAAACGGATGATATATCTGGACGCGAGAGGGCCGAGTATAAAAACCTGCTGAAATATCTGTCAACATCAGTAAATAAGCTTGTTATTCAACTGAAAATCAAGAGCGAATGTCATTTTTACATTCTTACGATCAGTGTTGGGGGTAACGCATTACAAGTAACGCGAGTTACGTAATCAGATTACTTTTTTCAAGTAACCAGTAAAGTAACGCATTACTTTTTAATTTACAAGAGAATATCTGTTACTTTTTCAAAAAAGTAACACAAGTTACTTTTTTTTCCCCATTTATTGATTGACAGCTCTCCTGTCCCCATGTTGAGAGAAATCTGATGTTACTGTAGTTCTAAAATAAATATGAATATGCATTAATTCATCTCACTCACAAAAAAAAAACAGATTCAGTATTCCTCAAAATGAAAATAATGCAACTCAGAATATGACGCAAACCTGCAATAATTAAATGTTAAACAACACAAATATCCTTTATGTATTTAATCCCATTCTATTAACCAGTGTCTTTGCTTCTGACCTTCGATGATCCAGTTCAACAATACTGATAAGCAAAAATTACTCTAGACAAACATTTGTGTGTCTTTTTTTATTGCTGAAGTGTGTTGACATTTCTTCTTCTGCATTCAACTGTACGGACGTAAATTTACTTTCCCTTCAGCCTGAGGCTAATTCATTTCACTTTTGGTGTGAAAAGGCTTTTATATTTGCCAAAAATAGAACTTTTTTATTTTAAAAACAAACAAGCAAGCCCTGTCCAGATTTAAAAAGTAACGCAAAAGTAACGTAATGCATTACTTTCCATAAAAAGTAACTAAGTAACGTAATTAGTTACTTTTTTATGGAGTAACGCAATATTGTAATGCATTACTTTTAAAAGTAACTTTCCCCAACACTGCTTACGATCTTAACTTGTGTTTTGTGCAAGCAGAAGATCAAATATAGGCCCAAAAGTGAATCTTCAATCTATTTTTTGATGAAACTACCAGACCTCCTGTGGTGAGACCCCTCAAGCTACAAAATAAGAAGGGTCTTTGTAAGGATTAGTGGCAGTCTATCTCCAACTTCATTTAGCAGACACTTTTAAGGGCTTAAAGTGGGTTTGAAGCCCAAGGCGCAAACCACACATGGGTTTTATCATAATTGAGATGGCAAATGTTCTGTTAAGTGATGGTTTGCGCAACTGTAACTGCACATTGTCTATTCAAAAATTCAAAGCTTTCATTTTATGCAATGTCAAATTGCAATGTTTATGCAATGTATCTCCACACACACATGTGCAGTGCTACTTGAATGTTTGAGTCTGGCTGGAGTCAAATAAAAAAGAAAACAACATAGAAGTCATGTATTTTGAGCAGATTTACATACTACGTGGGTAAATTATAGCATCAAACAATATATTTTTGATCATTTTGATACAATTGACAAAATAGATGAGATTTAATCCATCCATCATAAAAATTATTCTATTTGAGAAATCTTTTGAATCAATTGGTACGCAAGATTCAAAATTTTGCTTTGCCGTATATAACAGCATTTTTTTTCCTGGCGTCAGAGTAACTGAAACATGTCTAATTAATGTAAGTATCATAACTGATAATATATACTGATGAAGGAAAAAACCCCCACACAATACCATGAAAGCCTTTTATTGAACCGCGATGTAAAATATCTTTTTTTTCTTTATGTAAAGTATTCGGTAGTTTACTCCTGTTGATTGTATCTTTAATAAAATTGAGAAAAAAAACAACTTATTGTGTATTGAAGGTATTGTGTTTTTGAATTTTGACATTAATATTTCACATTGTGCTTTGTCTGAATATTCATATAAGTGTGAAACCATTTCCATAGACCTTCCTACCAGGTGTATTTGCATATAATCTCATATATTTGATACTATTTTATATAAGATTCAAATTATGCCATAATATAGTAATGCAAAGGGATTTTTTAGAAATGAATAAATGTGGAAAACAAAATATACATAGATATATATATATTTGTTGCCTGAAACAACATTTTTGGGCTGACAAAACAGAGAGAGTAACGTAATTCTTCCTCGGAAATGAACGTTATGAATGAGAAAAGTGATTTTACAATACATGTCCGAAAACCAGCTGGTTAAGGTAACGGATGGTCTCAGGTAGTTCAGAGTTTGTAGTTCAGTTTCTGTAAAAGCAGTCATTTTCATTAAAGTAATAAAATATCATTTGTATGAATCCAATCGGATGGATCCAGATCAAGGCTGATCATCTTTTACAGTGAGAGCATCAGTCCTCTAAAGGTCCATCTAGTTGTTTTTTTTCATACCTCTCAGTCCTCCGGATGTCGGAAAAAATTCTTTTTTTTTTCCGGTGGCACAGAAGTCTCATCAGATCGAAGGAGGATTTCATAGTGACCCTCCCGGCTGTTTTTCACCTGCTGATAATAGCTCCCAGATGTCCTACTGATGAATCAATGGTGCTTTTAGTCCAGTCCCACCACCATTGTTTTCTTTATTTCAGTCGGATGCGGAGCAGGTGGGATATATGCTGTCGAAATAAAAATAAGTCATCATCTATCAACAGTATGTGGAAATCAAGACTGCAACATGACACCCGTCTCTCATCGCGGCTCTCTGATTTTCACCTTTCATCTCACGTGTGCATGTACGCTATAAACCGTGCCGAAAGGAAATGCTAGATGATACAGTAGCACAGTAGAATGATTTTACAGAAGGTTCTGAAGGCACTTGATTTCATTACAGACAGCAACTTCATGTTCCTTAGCGAACGGCTATCTTTACACACCTAAAGAAAACAACTGCAAGTGGACAAAGTCGGGCATTCGGATCCACACTAGCAGCAGGTACAGCGTGATGTTAAACAGTTCTCTGTTGTTTAGCAGAGCCGCGCTGAAATGAAAGGTCAACTCAAGGATTCTCAGTGAGAGACGGTGTTCGTTGTGTCAGCTGCGTGATGAGCTGTTAATATCGATTCAGATGAGTGTGGTAACACACCTAATAGAACCAAAACACATGAAACACATAATGCCCAGACCGGGCAACGTCTGTTAAACTCGATCAGTTAAAGCACAAAGGACGAGTACATGAATGCCCCATCTGTCTAAAAACAAACTTTATATTGAGATTGTATTCCCCAAACACACATTTGTGGAGCCCTGATGTTCATGTCAAACAGACAACATCAGAGCACAAGGACCTACAAAAAGCGCGACTGTATTTGACATATCTCTATTTTCAGACATAAAAAAACGAAAACTTTTTTTTTTTGTTCAAACGATCATTCATTTTTGATACCATCACTGTTTTTTCCTTCTCAGAAGCTTGTGGCTCAGGATAACGTATTGTGACATAATGAGGTCTTTGATGACAGACGTTTAACAAAGCAAAAAGCATGTAGTGATGAAAATACACGTTATGTCTTTGTGCTTTGAAAGATTCCCCTATTAAGTCTCTCAAGCCGTCCTCCTGCTGTAACCATCCACCTGTTCTGTTCTTTATAACACTGACAACAGTAATGGGCTTTTTCACAAGATCTGGAGTGGACTCCGGTGTAATACTCATGTCATCGTGTTAGCCAGCTTTAGATTCCCTCCCTGGCTTCCTCTTCATTCACACGGATCTAAAACCTACGTTCCTTTTGTGTAGACGGGATGAATCTTTGGTTGTTGTGTTCAGGCAGTCTGAGTCAGCCAAAATCTCTATGAATACCAAATCAGGGTTCCACCTCCATGTGATGAGGTCACCTTCGGAGGCCAACCAAGACCAAAAGTAAAGTGAGCCAGAGCTGCCATATATGCACTGCAGCGGGAGAAGCCAGGGATCTTATATCTGAGGAAATAAAGACAAGAACAAATGCAGTTACTGATGTGAACAAATATTCATTTCTCAGTTCTGTGTAAATAAGTCAGAGATTAAGTATTCTTCTGTCTTTTAGAAGTTTAATGAGGTTTGTCTACGGTCTGTATCTCTAGAACATCTTTTTTTTGCAACGTGCTATGCTTTAATTCAAAAGAGAGCGAAAAAAATGAATTGTAAACGTTTGCTGTGAGTCATGAAAAGAGTCGTTCAAGCTGGTGGATTATCTTGTTATGGATAAGAAAAAATGTAAAAAAGCGTAGATAATACAGTCCATGTTACGTTAGCTTTGATCCTACACAGAAGTTTCCTCCCCTGTTGTGTGTTCTTGTGATTAATTTATTTAGACTAAACAAGTATTCAGCAAATTCAGCATTTTTTGGAAAGATTACTAGTATCTGAATAAATTGATCAAAAATGGCAGAGAAGACATTCATCATGTTGCAAAATAATTTTATTTCAAATAAAAGCTGTTCTTTTCAACTTGTAGTATAGCTATTTTTTTCATAACCTGATAAATATTAATAAATGACATGTATTAATTTAATCCATTAGTCCATTAATAACAATTATAGTTTTTTCCATTTCATTGCAATAAACTTAAAAGCCATTGCTTAAATAATTGCTTTAAAAACTCTTGTTCGATATACTCACTACTACTGGGTGGGGGGTCTCGACACTCTCCTTCTTCTATGGTCACATCGTCTATAGCAATATCCCCTTCAATGCCAGAACCACGTATACCCTCCAAAACCATCTACATGAATGGATGGGAAAATAAAGCCAAAAACATTTTCACTCTGTAGTGGCTATTCAATTCATTCTGAATACATACATATTAAAATAATAAGTGTATTAAATAATGAATATTATAATGTTATAAATTAGAATAATAGTATCCATGTTGTATCATAATTAAGGCTGTCAATCGATTAAACATTTTAATCTAATTAATCACACCCTTTTCTGTGATTAATCGTGATTAATCGCACACTTCATGAAATTAAGCATAGACCATTTATATTGTTTCAAATGTTTATTTTGTCATCATTTGCTATATCCAGCAAAGTAAACCAAAAGATTGAAGGGTGATTCTCAAAAATCTATATTCTCTGCAAGCTTTTTTCAAGATAAATTTAGATGTCTTTCCAAAAAGGCCACCAAAGAACCAAATTATATAAGGAGCCCATATAAGCACATATGAAAGAAAAAAAAATCTGAATTTTATAGTATGTGTACAGTGTAACAGCAAAGAGCTTTTTTACATTTTAGAGAAGCCAAGTTGCGATACCGAACAGGACCACATGGAGATGCCAAAAAAA